TATTTATAGCAAAATAAAACTCCTTTATAGAAAGCCACAAAACATTGTTACATTTGCATTCAAAAAAACAGATAAATATATATATATATATATATATATATAGATAGATAGATAAAAACATTTACAACATAATAGTATTGATTTCTAATATCTAAATTATTCTTAATTATAATGAGGTCTTTAATATTATTGTAGCAAAAATAAAATTAAAATCTTAAAAGAAATAATGAACAAATTTTATTAATATATTCAAAATACTTAGTTAAGAATATCAATAAAAAAGAACTCAATTCAAAAACAGTTTGTAAGAAAGGATTTTTTTTGTTTGTAACTATAATTTATATCTATTTTACATCCAAAAGTTACAAGCAAGACACATAATTACATTAGATGAGTTATTTAGGTATTAATTGGATAAAATGTAAGTCTTATAAATTGTTTTGAAACTGCATTAGGTCTTATACTCACTATTGCCTACATTAATAATATTCTAACTAGTAAGATGCATAAAAAGCTAAATACTTGTACCACATGAAAATTAACATTATTGATAACAATAGAGTTATAAAAACATATAATATTTTAAATATGTGTATATGTATATATATATATATATATATATTCATACATTCAAAAGATATGAATAATAAGAAACAACTATCTAACATTTTACAAGATGCATAGAAAGACAACTATGGGATAGCTCTAATATCTTTAATTATAAAAAATAAAAAATAAAAAATATGTAACATATTTATTAATTTTAAAAAGAGGTAATAAAAACTTAAAAAAAAAATTAATTATAAATATTGTAGAACTAAAGAGTTCAATTTATAAATCTTACTATAACATAAATGTAAGAGTAAAATTTATCTTGCAAAAGTTTTTAATGATTAAAATATAATTAAAATTTTTATTTTTGATAATTATCTCAAAAATTAAGCAAGAAATGTCATAAGAAAGAAAAAATATACAATATTATTATATCAACTAAGATAATTGCATCCAAGATTTATTAAGATTCTATTTTAAAAATAAGATGCATTACAAGACTTTTGTTACTAAAAGAACCTTCTAAATCTCCATCAATATTTGAAATTAAACAAGCCACATAAAATTATATTTTATATCTTAAAAATACTATTTTATTATTTTAAATTAATCCACCAATAAAGAGGAATTGATAGGACTCAAGTATTTTCAATCCTGTGTTTAAAAATAAGATGGATATAATATATGAACATATATTTTTATTTATAATGTATGTAAGCTATACTTCAATTATAAATAAAAAATTGAAATATAATTTTGAATACTATTTAAAGCTACTAATTATCATTATAATTCATTTTAAAAAATTTAAAATTTGCATAGATTAAGAATATATAGGTAAGAATAAAGATTATAAAAAATAAAATCTAATCTGATTATTTTTTAATCTACTTGAGAGATTTGAATAATTATATAGCCTAAAATGGAATATTATAAAATATAAAATCCAAATAATTAAAATTTATTATTAACTATATATTTAGAGTTATAAACACAAATAAAAAATTTAAAAATTTAAAAAAATATATAAATGTATTTTTTAAAAATTAGTATAATTAAACAAAAACTGATTATCCAATTCAAAATATACTTAGTTCAAACATTTTTTTCTTTTTTTTTTTTAATTTGATATGATGTTTTTTTTAAAAAAAAAAAATACAATAGAACTACTACAACAAAAGTTTAATAACTTATTATTATTTTGGTTGATTCATATATATATTTTTAAGGTTATGCACAAATTTAGGTTCTACCTTATTAAAGAGCTAATGTAATGGTCATTCAACTATAAAAGTGGTTTAATATACTATCTTTCTTATATTGCCTCTAATGGTTAAATACTTAGATTTAAAATCAAGAAAAAAAGAAAAAAAGAAAATGAAGTTACTATTACAAATATGTTACCAAGTAGTTGGAATCAACTTTTGTAAAAGTTAAAAAAGATAATAATGCACATAATTTAGAGATCAAATATATAATTCTTTCTTTATTTTTTAATTGGATGTCTATACAAAATATTTAAACATGATACGCCAATCTATTGGATCTCATTAGTTTAGCATAAGAAAGTCTAACTTTCCAAAGTTTACAAAGAATACAATATCATTGATTATTAAATAGTATACTATTTCAATAGCATTATTAGAATTTAGTTTATTTATTATTTATTATTTATTTTTATTATAATCAACTACCATCTAGGATCTATGGATTTAAAATAAAATAAAATAACAATCAAAAGAAAGATCTAAAGCCAGAGATGGTATTTTCTTTTTTCATTGTTCTTTCGGTGGAGTCAAATTTCAAGTTTCAAAATTTAAAAATATGATCAGAGAATATCACCTTACATGTAATAATACTATTTATGGTTTAAACCAATTAAAATTTTATCTCAACTCTTGGCTTCATTGAGTGAATTAAATTACAATTGTGTTGTATTATTTGTTAAACCAATAAAATTTACACTAAATGCATGCTAGTTATTAGTTTAACCAAAGAGTGATTCTTAATAATTACAATCAACCTCCTGGAATTTTTCTAATAACACCAAATTTAAAAGACTACTTTTTAATATAAACACACTTCCTTATATTTACCTACCACAATTAAGTGTAGATATTGGTAAATATTGAATATTAATAAGCCAGATAAATCTCCCCTATGCCTTCATTGTATAATTCATAACAAATGCAATCCAATGTTTAATTAAGAGAAAATGAAATTAGAATCTGACTATTGAAATTATTCTTGGTAAATGGCAACATTACTACCCACAAACCCCACAAAAGTTCAATCTCCAGCAAGTGTTCGCTTCTTCATTCATCCGCCAATTTCTGAATCTGAGCTCTTCTGAAACTAGTGTTGATCACCGTTTACTTTATTTGGAGCAACATTCAAGAAAGGCAAAATGTATTAAATGCGTACTTAATTTGGCTGTCTGTGAAACAAGGCCTTGCATTGACTTATTGAAACAAAGTCTTGCTTTGACTTATTAAAACAAAGTCTACTCCGCAATGGCCGGTTGCGCCAGATTACGCTGACTTTAGTGGTCTCATGTTGTCACTACTTGTGGGACCACCGACAAATCTAGAGGATGTTTTTTTTAAGAGAAGGGTCTTCGCCCATTTCGAAGACTTCAATGGACTTCAAAAGCTCTCTGATTTCTCATCGAAGAAGTGAAGCTCATTCACTCATCTATCTTTATTATTATTATTATTATTATTATATCATTTTTTTTCTGTTAAAATATTGGTTGGGTATGTATTGGAAATCTAGTTTTGAATTCAAGTGTCACACAAGCATGTATGATGATGTACATAGTGATGTTCAAGTATTGGGTGTAAATGTTCAAGAAATAATCTGTTGAATTTGTGCAGTTGGTCTATAGAGTTCCTGATGTTTTCTCATTGTACAGTGCAGGTGTTTTTAAAGCATGGAAACTTTGAAACTATGTCTGATATCTTCTGCATTTCAATGATAATACCATCATTATGAATAGACAACATTCAAACATACAAGAATTTTATGATGAAACAAATGTTTCTGTACCCTAGAATTTTTTTAAAAGGCAACCCTAAGTAATTGATGTTGATATGTTCATGTGGAGATGGCATTTTTGATCTCTAGATAGAATTGGTTTCGTTTAAATTAATTGGATATTACAAAGGATTCATAATTAACAGTGTAAAATTTTATTGCATATTTTAGAATACGTATTATAACAGGATTGTCAATTTATAAATTGGTCATCCTAATTTTCAATCTGAAGTATCAACTTTGATTTCAAGTTTTGGTGCATAATTGTTGCGAAAATAATGAGCTTCTGTTCCATTCTATCACTTATTGCATTTACCATTTGCAATTTCTTGCTCAGAGTTTTAAAACTTGACACCTTGTTTTTGGATGCAAGTAAACCAATTAAGACACAGAATTTAGTTGAATATTGCACTGAACCAAGTGGAGTTCACCTACTCATGATATCCAACTTCAACATACCTCTACACATTTAAGTCTTTTGAAGACAAACAACTAACAATATGTATTCCCTGATGCTGAAAAATAACTCTTTAATTTTTCAAAAAATAATTCTAAAAAATGAGCATGTCACAACACGAATGATGCGTTGAAATCTCTATTTAAAACAGACAACGTTTGGCAAAACTGTCTCCCGTGTTTTGATTCTTTTACAATGTTCAAGGGCAGTTGTAAGTCCAACGCATCTTCCTTCTGTTGCATGTACCAAAGAAAGGGAACCTGCACCAAACAACAACAAACTTTGCCTAGAGTTGAGCAGTCAATTGTGGATACAATTCACAGAGTTTCACGTCACCTAACCAGGCAGGCCTTTTTGCCATGGTCGTTCACGCCGTCCCGCAAAACCCCCTCCATTTTGTGTTGTGACCGTGGCTGTTCCTGGAGCTCTTCACAATCCAATCTAAGCATGTCGTCCAGATTTCTTGAACGACTTGATGTGAATGTTGGAGCCACGTGAGCAATAAAGTGTACCTTGACCTGGTAGAGTTTCCAAAAGCTTGACATCTCAAATCTGATGGAGAATATTTTCTTATTTTAAGTCCTTATGGGTTACTCATTGCCACAACGTGGACTAATGCACAGCCCAGGCGCTACAGAAGACATGACAATGTAAACAGTGATCATGGTTATCTTGCATAGTGATTTCTACTGACGGGCACAGCGAAAGAAATCTACAGCTATGGTTACGGTCTGAAGTGACGCTCCTAGTACCCTACTAACATAGTTTTCTCATTTCGCCTAAAAGTAATACGTTGATGTTTGGTTCTAGGACATGATCAAAGAAGTCTTGAATTCCACAAGTAGTTTCGAAGAATCCACATGAAGGGCATGGCAGGGCCAAATTGAATTGTGACGTGTTGAAAGATATAGATCAAAATTGCACCGATCATTAGGAACACTTGGGCAGAGGCATGTTGCAGCTTGAAAAATAAATAATCCAGGTTAACACTATGAAAATTACAAGACAGATAAAAAAGATGATGTGCTAACTCCGGGGTTTCCAAAATGGAATTCATAAAACATATCAAACCTCGAGTTACGCATGTCCAGTACGAAATGTACATCTGAATTTTAAAACCTGAGTACAATGTCATAACAGCTGAAAAATAGAAGATGCCGTGCAGACTTCATGTAACCACTGATATTCGATGGAGTTGTAGCTCCACAATGAACATCTCTACATGCCCGCTTGAGACGTAAGGTGAGAAATTTCAAATTTTCACTCGAGAACATTTTCTTCTTCACTGTCGCTGTAGAAGTATGCTGACGCTTGCTTCTTATTTCCAGCACTGCACACATTGCATAAAACAGAGCTCTGAACTTCTTTACTGATCCAGCGAAAAGTCATTTAGTTGCGTGGTTGCGAACGGATGTTATAGAGGAGGTAAACAAACATCTAGTACTTCGCACACGTACCATACATAAGAACGCATATCCAAACAATCACATCATACGCAAAAGAAGAAAAAAAAAATTGGTGCTGCCCAAAGAAAAAGAACATAGCATAATCCATATTGTTGCCAAATAGGTAATCTCAGAAGCATGTTGAATAACACGGTATGATAAGTTTCAAGTACACGTTGAGAGATTGGCATGAGATTAATGAGGCTCGTAAACTGTCGTCATACCTGGCTGTGGGAGGTGCCCGGGATCCAGGGTTAAGACCGCTTCCAAACTCAGATGCGCTATCATCATCTGCTAGTTTGCATACAGAGCAAATCCACAATTTTTATTTCCAGTGCGTACTAAAAACTCAAAATATGTAAGCCACCATTTATTCAAACAATAATAATACGGCAATCTAATAAAGATAAATTGCAAATAGTCTGCTGACGACTCAAGCTGTGTAAGTGCGAGTTAGCATCCAGTTCCAACCTAATACTGCTGCTTAATTTGATTTCAGAACGTGTGATGTGATCTGATATGAACTACCGATCTACTGTTGAATGAAGTGAAATTTCATATTTCTCAGAACTCAGAAACTCACCCAGCTGAAGATTACCGAGGGCTTTGCTGGGAGCCTCCAGAGACGAGGTCCTTCTGATTTGGCTGTCATAAAACAAGTGGTAAGTTGATATAAAAGAGAAACTTCAACTTCAAACCGAAAGAACACTCATGAAAAGCATCACTCGATAACCCTAAAGCCTTTCAAAACAGGTTGATCCACAAGTTGATCCACTTATGCATGCAGTGGATATGACGCAACTCAAGATGCAACGCCGAGTAATAGAATGTTGGATTCTGTAAAAAGTTGTCTTGGACGGAAGTGGAGCATGCATGCGAGGATTATGTGTTGATGTTCTCCACATTCCAAGCAAGACAACGTATTATGGAATGAGAATGAACGATTGTCAAGATCATGGAAGCTACCGTATCGTAAAGGGGGGTATAAGTTACTGCTCTCAGAAGCAATTGTGAATGGTTTAACCTAGGTTGAACTGTGATATTCCTGCAAGCTGAAGTAGCTACCTGACTGTAGTAAGAGTACTAAAAAGAAAAAAGCTCTGTTCCGCAACTTGCTTCCCCCACGCCCTCAGAGCGCTTGTGAAGTAAAATCAGCTGAAGTGGAAAAAGTGCACTGCCAAACAATAGCACCCCTACAGTTGACGACACACATTCCAATATATTTTGTAGAACCAGAAATTACCTCGTGCTGTGTTCGCTCCTTTGACTCTTTCCATCCCCTTTGTCTGTACGTGGGGATGGGTTCGTGTACGGATTGTCATAATCCTGGTCCCTCCAAGCATTATCTTTCTTTCGGTTCGAGAAACTTCCACCAGGAGATTCATCTTCCTCTTTCCAGCAGTGGTCTCTCCTTTTACCATCAGTGTCCCTGTCTCTTGATCCAGATTGCTGATCGTTTGCTGTACCATTGCTTCCTCTATTGTTGGAAGCTGAACGTGAGGCACCGCTAAATGCTGGTAGGCTGACAGGCAAGTGCAAGAGTAAGAAAAAATAACTATAAACTACTCCAAAACCTAACACGGAAGGTAGCTGATAAGCATTAAAACAAATTCATTATGCAACTGTAACTTACCCACTACTTCGTCTATGTTGTGGCAACTCAGCTAACTGTGATTGTGCTCGACTTGATTTCTGATATAGCTTTTGATTATCATCATAAGAACCTGGGCTTATAGCGGCATCATTTGCAACCCCCTACATGACAACACGAGGCACAAAACATTTCTTAAATATAATGCTCAGTGAAACTTTATTTCATGCACATACATGCGCTTACCACACTTTCTACCAAAAGGAACCGACAAGACACTATTCCTCACAATGAGTGAGCCTACTGTCCAAGCGAATGAATACGGCGTCAGCACCCTGACCAGGTTTCCTTCAACTTACACATAGCAACTATTCACACTTCTAGCACATTTGCAGCTTAAAGTCTCCCAAAACTAGCATCAAGATTCAGACAGTTCTTTATGACATTGTTGGGCTGCAAAGGCACTCTGAAATAGCTTACCAGAGTATGCATCAGGAATAGCACTATTGAAAGCACTTCATGAAGCTCACGCTAATGGAGGCCATTATACTAGTTCATGCCAAAGAAACTTCTTTATGAGAGTACAGATCGACAGAAATTGAACAACTGAGCTGTGATCGGAGTAAGAGACCTTTGCAAAAAAGGATGTCAACCGCAGTAAGATGATAATTCCAATGTGATATTAAAAAGGTTCAGAGTAGAGGGACAAGGAAAGGCGGGTACTCACAACAAAGTCTGTCTCAGAGCGGCTTTGAAATGAGCAATCATGTGAACCTCCCATAGGCTTCTCTGACACTTTTCTGCTGCAACAAATTTAACTCACAAAATTTAGTTAACAAAATTCCCAATGCACCAGTACATGAGAAAATATAGCACAAAACAGCAAGGATTTGTTGACACGCAATCATCAAAATCTATAAGACACAACAGTCTTACTTGGTCGTTGGCCCACGCGTCTCAAGAGCTTCAGAAGAATCTAGGTTGGAAGTACTGCCGCCTGATTGCCTGGACCCTCCTGTAGCCCCATTTCGGGTACTTTTGGATTCTACAATAGATCCAGAACCTGATGTCTCTTTTTTCTGCATATAAGAGGATTATGTATCACCGACAAGTAAATGTACATCCAGCAATAATAGAAACCTACTATGTACACTTATTTTCTAATAATTTCTGGCACAACTAGAGCAATCACAGGTTTTGTTTGAACTTTACATGCATTTAGTGCATAGAAGGGGAAATAAAATCGCCTGACATGTGAAATGAATGTTGTTAACATTAGAAAATGGTGAGTGATGTGCAAGATTATAAGATATGTACACCTACAAATATGAGAGAGGCGACTACGCAGATCCACTCCATGACAAGTGACTGGACGTAAACCCAAGGTTATACAAATGGCCTCAATCTAAAACTTCTACGTACCTCGTTCAAGTATGCCTCAACAATAGTCAACAGCAAAGGCCTGGAATCATGACTGACTGGATTGGGGTCACCCATTAGCCCCAAAATATCCTCCAATTCCGATCTATCGTAAGCCCTGGGCTGCATGTTCAACCAGATTCAAGTTGAGCAAATAAGAACTTTCCAAAAACGTTGTGCAAAGACATTTCAGGTATAGGCTACGCGGCAGCTATACCTGGTTGAGCTCTGGCATGTAAACTTTCAATGTATGCTCCAACTCACACCACTCCATATAGTCGCACACCAATGCCATCAATAGCTTACCTGTTCGTCATGAACAGGCCAATAAGAAAAAGAACGCCTCAAGAATCCGACTGAGACACGACTTTGACACCACAAACTTCACAATGTGACCTATATTGAGAAGTATTTTATGAAGCATCGAAAATTAGCACCATGCGTTTCCAGTGACGAGGACTATAAACGAGCTACAATAACAAGACAAAGAGTAACTGGCATAGATGCCATGAAACTACGAATCGACAAGAAACTTGTAAAAAGCACAAGAATGAGGATTCCGTGAAAAATCAGAAAACATGCCTGAAGGAGAATTATGCAATTGTTTTGCCCGCTCATTGCATGTTCCAAGCAAAGAAAATGATGTGGAGCCATTGCTTTCTGCCTCATGATCTTGTTCTTCCATGGCTTGAAAGACGTTTGCTCTCAGCTCCGCCTGTAAAGATTGACACAAGCGTCAGGATATCCTATGGTATTGCAACTAAAAAAATTATAGGTTTGATTCCTTGAAAGTGATGCAAGAAATTGTGAAATTTTCATATGTGCTTCTTATAGAGGATGAAACGCCATGAGTGCTAAGCTCAGGTTGTGGGAATCGGGCGTTGAGATTTAAAAGATTAGTGCAACCGCTCCTAAAAAATACTTCTAAAAGATACTTTTCCACTGTGACAGTACTGGCCCCGATATCAAGCACTTCAAATCGCATGTGACACCCCGGGGATGAGGCGCATGTCCACTTCTTGGCGGCATATACAACTATCGTTCCATGTAAGCCCTCTAGTAAATGGGAACACTAGGAGAATACGATCTTGATAAATACGTGATATGAAGGGTAAAGAAGGGCCCATATTTGGTGTTCACGACGCATACGCACATCAGCGAAGAAGGGTAATTTCCAATGGGACGAGAGCTTAACAGATTAGATGCCCAGATTATAAATGAAAACTTTTTGACAATCTAAACCTTCTAAGACATCGGTGACTTTGAAAACTTTGACAAACCCACATTTCCTGTGAAAAATAGCTTTAACTATTAAAACGAAAGAAGCATCTTCTTCAATAGACTGTCAATACGAGGAGTACGTATAAAAAAATGAAATGCAGGTAGCAAAACTTGCTCCAGAAACCGACATCGAAAGAGATGAGTAGAAACGTACCCGAATCCTGGCAAGTACGCCCTTCTTCTCCAAAGTTTTGGTAACAAGGGTTTTCAGATCGACCATCTCACGCATGTAGTCGTCCATGGCTGCACCTAGCATGTAAAACGACTTCTTACAACCTTCACGTGCTGGTGACAAGGTACAAGCAATGCGCTTTAACTAGGTTTCCTTCTAAATACTAGTCCACACTTTCTAACACCAGAGGCAGACAGATACTCGGGAGCTCAACTCAAAAGGCAAAGCCAACACAAAATGCACAAGGAGAGTCCACAGGCATTAACAGACGGATGGACATAGGACTCAAAATACCTCTCGAAGTACACAAACATAGGGATATACCTGCGATCTTTAAAATAGCAAATGCTACGCGAGGTTCGGGAGCTAGTACCAAACCCTAAGGAACAACTTCACGTCCAAACCACTTCAATGCAGCGTTGTTCCAAGTATCGTACACTCGGCTCTGCCATCTGAAAGACGCATCGTCAACAACCCCTCACGTCCCCGACTCAGGAAACCAAAACCTCACAACACACTCAAATCCAAAAACCCAACAGCACATGTACGTCTCCACCCTCCTATTCAACCCAGCGTTATTCTCCAACGATGTTTCACTTAAAACGATAAACTGTCGAAAAGGTCTCGCACCAGTCCTCCGATACAGGAGACAGTTTCATTCAGCACCTCAGCCAGTCCATAGCACGCAATGCCACACCCTCCCGCACCGAGCATCCACACACTCCACCCGTCCGGATCACCTCAAAGCCTGTCAGATTTCCCGTCTGTCACACGCTCCACGGCACTGAAGTTACCACACGAATCAGCAGACACTCGCTACAGGCAGGCAGGCAGGGGATGCAGATAGGCACGCGCGACGGAAACCGAGGTTTCACGGCGAATACGCCACGCCAAGGGATGAGAATAGACTCGATCAGCTGCTACAGACCTGACACAAACAGTGGCGCCATTCTCGATCCCGAAACGGAGCGACACTAACTCCGATTGAGGCTGCGAAGGATGAGGAGAAGCAGAGAAATCAAGCAGCATTGGGGTTTGGCAGAGGGCTCAATCAGAGGCCCAGCGTCATTCCAACGAAGGGGACCTAAGAGAGAGAAAGAGAAAGTGAGAGCCACGTCGTTTTCACGCGCCACTCTCGACTCCGCTCAGCCGTCCGATGAGGTCGGTTAGTTACCTCGGGTAGATGGCGGGCTATGTTTTGACGGGGTGAGCGCGGGCTCCGGTCCCCATCCAGGGGTCATTGTCTCCCCCAGCTTTTGCGTTTTCGCAGTTAGCTTTTTGGACCCAGTTAACTGCGAAAATACTTCGCATTTGAAATAAATAATGAATATCAATGATGATAACATTACAAGTATTAATCAGAAATTCAAAAATAATGACTTGTCTATTTTGTGTAGGATTCTAAAATCTAAATACCAAAAACTAAAAAAAAAAGTTTAAGAACAGAAATCCATTTTCCATGCGTTTTTTTTGAACTTCAGCAATGTTTTGTGTGTCACTATTCTTCTTCAGTCTATTAAAATTATACTATGGTCTTTCACAGCAAAGTGTGAGAGTAGATTTGCCCATTAATCTACGTAGCATTAGCCAAGAAGCAAAATCCTTTATTTACAAGACGAAGCATTTACGCTTTTAGGAATGGACATCAAGTTCTGGGCAAAAGTTGCAGAAGATTTATGAGTTCATTCAGGGCACCTTCACATCGCCTCCTGTATCTCATGCAGTCAGCAAATCATAAAATATACAGGTCGGTTTCAATTTTTTCTCTCTTGTGTTCGTGTCGGGATGGGCTCCTGTGTATCACACAACTCTTTGAAAGTAAATATATGTTGGAGACTCTGCATAAAGTGATATTCTGCGACCTACTCGATCTAGCTGTTGGGATTCCTGCAATCTCCCTCTTGAGGAGAAGTTGGCTCGGCGAGTCGATCCTATCCAGCCTGGATTCTGAGCTTTGCACTATAATAACAGTCTACTATGAACTTCTGCATGCTACGCAAATATAACTGCAATATGTTCAAGTACCAGGCAAAGTTGGATTTAGTACCGACTATCATGAAATACACAAATGACTTAACGGAGATAAAAATAAATTTGGTACTGATTATGAACAGGTGGGAAGGAAGGATTTTATCGGCTCCAGATTCCTGCCAGTCTGAAATGGTGATTAAAGCGCTAACAACCAACACAAGCCAACCCACTAGCATCTGTACTCTATGACGATGGAATGGGTAGGACGTTGGAAGACTGGTTGATGCCAAACACATGAAATCGTTGTAGTGAACAACGTTAGGGATATTCAAAACAATGGACACATTGACGAACGCTGGAAGAACCATCGACATTATTCATAAATTGTGGCCAACATTCTTTTAGGTTCAAGATAACCTAACAAAGTTAAACCCCTAGAAAAGCCCCCACAAAAAAAAAAAAAAAAAAAAAAAAAAAAAAAAGGATCCATGAATTCTTGTTTAGTAAAAATTTCCGAGTTTCATAAAAATCCTCAGAAATTGCTAAAACTTCACTTCAAAACATCCCCTCCTGGTGGTCAACGAAACCTACGACCTGATTTAGATATTGAGGGGAAGCGGTGAAATGGTTGCCTGGTTATAAGGCAACAAATTGTATCCAGGGATCCCACCACTTCACATTGCTCCGTGATTCAGCTGTTCTTTGAGTTGCAAGGAGAAGGGTTGCAATCTAGCCAAATGATTCACCAAGAGGCTACAGTGTACATTTGAGACGTAATAGAGGTCATGGCAGCTGAGTAAACGTCTTCAAGGTTAAGACGGGGTACGTGAGGCAGGAGACTCAGTAAGACGAGTGTTGTAAGATGGACAAGTGCCACACTTCTGTCCGACAACATGATATCGCACTTCATTTTTAGCTCCACAGTCATTACATAAGATCCATACCTGTAGAGAAAAAAGCAAGTGTTTAGCCAACCAGGGTGCACTCAAGTAGTTCAATGACCAGAGCCCTGATATGCCACGCATGTAAGGAGATAACCGCTTGGTTAGACTCTGTTCCGCATGGACACGAGACATCCGCAAGCCATGCTAAATAGATTCGCAAGCAAGTTAAAATGAACCGACTTACCATTCTACTTTGATTTTCAGGCATCTGAATCGATGCAATTTCTAGGTCAATCTCCTTCCACACGCTAGACATATCACATACTGACTTGTTGCAAAGAGGACAATTGTACCTGAAAAAGAACAAACTTGAGTTGGATATTTGAAAACCATTTAGAACATATTGAACACAGCAAAAGTGAAAAAGTGCAACGTAGAATTTATCTCGCTCGCTCTCGCTCTCGCTCTCACACCCACACACTGACATTATATATATATATATATATATATATATATAATGTCAGTGTGTGTGAGAAAGAGAGAGAGAGAGAGAGAGAGAGAGAGAGAGAGAGAGCAAAGGCAATGGCTCAACCTGTGAAACTATGTTTTATAATGGTAAGTCACAAAGAACTTACTGATAATGTTTGTACATCTCTTGTAGGCATTCCAAGTGTAAAGTGTGGCCGCATGGTAAGACTGTAATGTCCATCAATGAGTCGAACAAGTACTGCGAATCACCAAGTAGACACGATGAGACGCCATATACGCCAAGTAACTCCACATATATGTCGGCTAAATAGAAGGAAAGCGCAAATAAAAAACTGGCAATTGCCAGCCGTCATAAAGAGCAAAAACAACACAGATGTGAGAAAAACACATACCTCCATACAGATTGCGCAGTCTTGATGCATAGATTTCTCAACACACGTGTGTCTCTCACGTAATTCGACTGAGTAGCAGCATCCACAACGATCGCAATGGAAAAAATTATCGCGTCCACCAATTCTGCAAATCCCACATTTGTCGCAATGAAATTGCCGTTTCGAAGTCTGAAAAAACAAAAAAAAAAACAAAAACAATTCAATGATTAGGAATACTGAACCAAGAAAGATCACTTTATACATAGAAAGCCAGAACAGTTAACTTACACATTAGAACGTGTTTTAAGAACTGTATTAAAGTTACAATGAACTCACATCATCGTCAAAGAACTTGCACTTGGAGCAAAAATACTCGCCCATACAGACGCCACAATTTTCACAAACTTGTTGCACATCTTGCTCGTGATCGCACAAGGAACAGATAACCTGCACAATTAACAGTCCACGAGCAGCGGACGTTAGCATGTATTCGCAATAGAAAACGTGTGCCAGTTGTGAACTTCAACAACAGAAAAAGCCTGTGAAATTTTCAATCAAGTGTTCGACAACCTTATGCAGTAATAATAGCTCGATGAGATAAGGTCAACTTGTACCTTTTCCACGAGGCGCCGATCAATCTCGTGGCGTTGTGTATCATCCTTCTCATTGACACTCTGAAAATACACTGAAAATACAATTCAGAATGACCAACTACAATACTTCCATCTATGAAAATATGTGGAGAAAGAGAGCGAGAGAAGAAAAAGAAGAAGGGATTAGCGACGCAGCATTACTAGTAATTGTACAAAACAGCGAATTTAAGACAATGCATACCTTTGCGTCATTGTGACAATGCCGACAATCGAAGACTTCATTGCAGCAGGGAGCACGAATTTTACATCCCCTCTTGTAGTGTGCACAACTGCAAACGCCCCAAGATTAATAGGTTTCGCTTTCAGAATCGTCCCAACTAAAAAACAAAGAAAACACTTTACCGAGTAAACACAGGGCACTCGAAAAAAGAACACGAAAATGTGGGCAGGGTGTTTCTCACCCATGGTGCTCCGCTCCTGTAAAGCGTTTCCAACCTTGCACAAGGTCTTCGGTGGGGCCCTCGACATCATCCTCAGAATCAGAGTCTGAGCAGCCAGTGTGTGCCTTTAACAGAGATACAATTCAAATAAGCATTGACAGCATTCCAGGGAAAAAGGCCATTGAACAACAAGTGGATCAACGAAACGAATGACGAATGACTAATTGCCAATGACCGCCATTTCCAGATTGCCAAAAGGACGTTGGGGAAGCAATCAAAGAAGTATAAATCATAAGATTAGATAGAGCCGCATTAGTTACTACATCGAAAGTTGACAGTCTACCAGACAGCATTCAACAGCTAAATTCCGCACCCTAAATTCACGAGAATTCGGCCGATGAGTGGATTCAAAGGTCGCCGTTCTCAAAAAACCAGGCGCGATTGGATATTCGTGGTGCAAGCATATCACAACATGACTAACAAGTAGCTCACTGACACTATCAGCGCCAGTTCAGACAATCAAGCGATGCGCAGCAAGCACGAAGCCAATTTGAGCCACGCACTAGACAAAGACAAAGACAAGGTACGTACCGCGACCACGGGCTGGCGAGAATGCGCCCCAACGTTGCTGTAACCATGTCGGAACTGCTCGCCATTCACCAACGGTCCCAAAAGAGACTCCATTCTGACAGCGACAACAGCCATTTCGGCTACCTTCCTTCTACCCCACGAGAAGAGACTTGATTTAGCCGTAATGAATCTACCGCGCGAGGCCGCGCGGTTGGCACTTCCTCCACTACCTCATACAATCAACACTCAATGCGCACCCTTCCCTCCTTCGATCTTCCCCACCCCAAACAACTCGATGTATCGAAGTGACGCCTCCGTCTCCCCTAGTAAACAACAGCCAATTGCCTTCCTCGACTCCCACTGTCCGTTGCACAATAGAACTCCTTTCTCTCGCTCTCAAATCAAAAACGGCGATCCGATTGCTCTATAGTCCTCGCTCACACTACCGCAAGCAAAAACACTCCCAACTCTTATCCGATCGCACCAATCTGCCTCAACCGCCGTCCGACTCCCGAATGCAGCTTGTAAAACAGTCTACCAATTCACTTAACCTTGCCACTGATATGACAATCCACCTCGCTCCAGGCTTCTAAAATGGTGCGCCCGCACTTATCCTTAACCAGAAGATGGAGCTCGATTCGACTCGATTCGTGTTCGCAATTGAGGAGGACTCTGCTGCGAGAGCGAAGGAAGAGCCAAAGCAAGCAATGCAACAGAGGAACTGGTGCTGGACATGATAAAGCAGCGGATAGGCGGGGGCGCGGTGATGGCGCTATTATTAGGGCAGGCAGCCGCGTCCAGGCCTTCGCGATTGAAAGGGAGCGCTGCCCGTCGGGCACTATGCCGGGCAGATTACTTCACGTTCAAATTTTCGTATGAATGAATACAATCATATATATATATATATATATATATTTACACACTCACTTTTTTTAAGGACTGGATTAATTTCAATTTGGAGCAGAATGGAAAACATAGTGTTATAGATCACATTGTAGATATCTTTAGTGTCATAAGCTCCTCCATTTTTAATGGTGTTGACTCGTGTATTGATTAAATCATTACCATTTAAAATAAGGGCACAGATTAGACATTGTGGCTTAATTTGTGCCCTCCATTCACATGAAATAACTTGATCACAGACACTAGAATCCCAATCAAATTTTTTATCATCGCTTTACGCCATAATCGCACTTTCATTTTGAATGTACATTTTATGTTTAGTAAGTGTATTCAAAATTGGCTTGATTAATTTTTTTACTGAGAATGACTAGAGCTTAAGCCAATCAATTTTGTTAACCAAATCTATATATACACACACATGCATGCATTGTCTATGCTGGATAATATAAGATTGTATTATATGACATGTTGATACTTTGTTACCAATCAAAAAGGACTAGTCACATATGTTAATGATTCCTTGATTTTTGGTTGTGGCAGCCTCTTATGCTAGTTGTGGTGACATAGTGACCAAATATTACAAAAAAATGGGGTTTTTTATTCTAATAATAAATGGGTTTTTTCAAAGAACATGGTTGATGTATACTTTGCATGAACTTCCTCTTCATATATATATATATATATATATATAAACAAAAAAAAAATCAAAATCAAAATCAAAATCGAACTTCATGAAAATCAAAATCGTAAATGTCAATTGATAATGCTGCATTCTTTTTACTCATGTAACTATACGCAAAGAACATTACATAAGATTTTATTTTCAACACTCTGATTTACACATCATCACATATAAATCCACAGGTACTCTCACCCACAAAAAACCAATTATTCATATTTTTGTTCTGAGTAGGAAAACAAAATTCTCATCGACCTTGTTCATCACATCCACTTCAGAATCAGATTAAAAAAGAAAAGAAAAGAACATGGAATGGTATAATCTATGCTGGAAGGATCTATTGATTGGTCGCCATTTCAAAAGAGCGATGATGCAGAAGGAAGATTCGAGACAGCAGCATTTCAACTCGAGAGAGGGAATCAAAACACACACACAAACATACACACATACATACCACAAGAGAATTATGAGGGCAAGCAATCAAGCACCGTATCCTTGTGCTCCAGTGGAGTGCGATACAATGCAAGCCGTCTGGTTCTGTGGTCAGTGAGGCAGCAGCAGCAGCATTCTCCAGCCCTTCACGATAAGCCTGTAATGGTTTTTCGGGCCATGGAGCTCACAATGTCCGAGGCGGTCCCAATGATTTTATGCCCCTGGTGTTCCCCTAAAGGAAGTTGGGGATCGATCCATGGAGATGCCTCTCGAAGCTTCTTCGATGCGCCTCCTCCTACTCCTCTCAAACCTTACTGATTAAGCCCTAGGGGATTATTAAAAATAACAATAATAATCCATAGCTTTAGGGCTCACAGAATACAACGCGGGATGGCTCCCCGGTTGCTCCAAATCCCAGCGGAATCTATGAGCCTTCCTCGAAGGGGCATTGGTTCGTGCTTCGGACGTCTCCATTCCCCAATACGAAGCCGACGAATTTGGCCCCCTCCAACTACTCCGGTCAACCTCCCCGAGTCCGGTCAATGCTCACTCCACCCGCTTCTTTTTGTGTGCCGGCGCTGGATGGAAGCGTCGACGGAGTGTGACGAAGTACATCTAATGGATGAATAAATGTGGACGGAATCCGTTTCAAGAGGTCCGTTGGTGTGGAACTTTGAGCCCATGACTTCGTGAGAAAAGCAATAAGTAAATAGCTCCGGCTCTTGATTGTGTGGTTGTGGAGGACTGGCACTTTGTTTGATCTTTTCATGGCTGGGATCATATTGTTCTAAATTATTTCGCCACTTGATTTTATGTGCTTGGTTTTTAAATACATCTCTAACTTTTTCTCTACAGCGTGTCTGATATTTCAGGATTCACTAGGCCAATTGATGTTGAAATATTACATCAAATTTAGCTGGAGTTGATGTTGTGTAGTGCATAATTTAAGTACAAGAAAACCCATGAGAAGTTACATTTATTCTGAATTTAATTTTCATAAAATTGAAATAAACATTACTAGTATGAACATTTAATCGTAGTATCCTTGTACTTAAAAAAAAATTTAAATCCTTGCTCGTAAGGGTTACTCACTGTTGAGCATGATTTGCAGTATTTTATCATACAAATAATATGAAATGGGAACAATTTAATGACTAACCACTGAAGCGTCTAAGTGTGATATTAAACATGACAACGTGATGTGGAATATCGAGAGCTAACAATAAACGATAACAAGTTTTGCATTCCTGTCTCCAATCTCAGATTGTTTTGGTCATAACTAAGTTTCACATACAATCTCTCACACACACACACACACAGAAAAACAAACAAGCATATGTATGATTTTACACACATGCATACATGTATACATTTTTTCATAACAAATTTGATGAAGCATAGTTTATCAAGCAAAGCTGGGACAAAATCCTGCTTCACAACAAAAGACCTTCACTAAAACGTCACCAGATCCCCCACCCAATTCCATCCTCCCTTCTACACATCTAATATTCCATCAAAAGATCCCCAAAGATTCCACAAGATTCTCACGCACATTGACGACCGTAATTATCAGTCCATTACAGATGATACATCCACATACTATGGATGAAAAGGTAGAAATCGGAATCTAACCTAAGGGTCCCTATTCACTGCAATTGCGAGGTTGTAAGAGAGGGCCCACATGGCTTGTAATTCGAGGGTCCAGTAACTCTAGATTGTCTGTCCTATCTACCAACCTAGGGACGTACTGACCGGCTGCCCTCGAGAGCGGCAGGGCTGTCCAGGCCATGGGGAGGACTGTAGATGGAGGCGACCGACCTTGCGGGGGGGGGGGAGGAGGGGATGGGCCGCACCACAAGGCGCTTCCAACATCAACGGGCAGGTACCGTGGGGCCCGTGTCTCATCCCACCGAAAGCGCGTGCAAATAATGTCCTATCTCCTTCAGAAAATCCATCGCTAAGTCTAGAAGCAGTTGTAGCAGGAGGTTTGATCCGCGTCTCGGGTATTGGAGGAAGCCGCTGTACTTGGAGAGTCTGCACCACATTTGTCGTGGAGACAGTTGGAAGGCACCAGAGCTGTGGTCGAGCTTCTGGTTGCTTGTTTCATGGAGAACCGGGGGTGGTGAGTGGGAAAGTGCAAGAGAGAGTTTGGTGCTCTAGGGTCCCCGTTTATCAACGAACGATGGCCTTTACTATTTCATAGTTTTGTTCAATTTTACAACCTTTTGCCTTATTTTGTTTGATGGGAACATGTGCCCTAGAGTGGAGGCCATGCCTTGACTTTTTTCCCACTCATTGAGGTTCAATTCACACTTACGCCCATTTTTGCACCTGAAGTCCGCTTTAGACCATAATTGTTCCCGTAGTTTCATCATGGCTGTGGACAGTGGAGAGTCCACATTTCAGATACCTCCAGAAAGCTCGCATGTCCGCATTCAATGAAGTTACCTTGTTTCTGTATTCTGCATCGTGCCATAATCCGAGATGGTCTCGAGAAGCCTGATGGTGACGGAAAATAAATCAGACGGAAGTGCCGATCGAACCTTCCGTCAATACCTCCACAATTGAGTAAGGGTTGCTTCCTTGCAGACTGATCGCCATCCCAAGATTCCTCCACATGATACGCTCTCATAGCGATCGGAGACGGGGCTGGTTTCCGAATTAGGAAAGGAGCTCCAGTTAATTGGTAGCGTGCATAGTTAATGGCGAGATCCAGATTCCCTTGGCCAAGTCGGGATACAAAGGCACAGAGCATCAAGGGATTTTTCGATTATTCTCGTAAATAAACATGGAATATTCGCATTAAAGACACCGACCTCCGCGCTGAGGCTGGGCCATCCGCAGGTGTCAAGGGCTCAGTCGCGGTCGATAGTGGAAACTGCAAGTCCTCGATGTGAAGCCACGATTGCGAAAGACTTCCAATATGCGATGTTTTGAATGGACTCCGAAGGTTGTGATATGTGCATCTATATATATTCTGTAAATATCTATATGTACGAATGAATACATGGATGGGGTAATATGTTGATGCATTTGTGAGTGAAGTCTATTATTGATGGATAACGTTCGATGTGTCTCAAAAAGGTTGTTGTTAGAAACTACTTAGGCTTCTGGATTAATGTTGTTAATGTTGTTCTTATTATGATTATTTGTGATTCCTTCTAATTAAGAATAAGGATGAAGACATTTGCTTAGTGCTTTTATTTTGCACTCTAAGGCAAATAATAATAGCCTTGTATGTTGAACTGATGAACCAGACAAAAATCTCTTGGAGGATTTGAAATGAAAGAAAGAAAGAAAAAGACAGTGTACTGCACCATAACATATGTAAACTAATTTCAGGAAATTGAATTGTCATGGTTGTTTTACCCAAATTTCATGGTTAAATTTAATTGATGTTGCCAGAGTTCCACTTTTAGCACTATTTGGAATGAGTCATGATTAAAGCATGTTGTTGTTGTTGTTGTTGTTGTTTTTTTTGTTTTTTGTTTTTTGTTTTTTTTTTGATTACCATATACAATATAATATAGGGATAAGAATTAGCCATAATCCTATCTTCACCTATTAACTTTCATCACCATTCAACTTAATTGAATGATACAACCAACTCTTATATTATTCTATTGTAAATGATGAATAGAAATTTGACAAGATATATATTTGGAAGATTATTCTATAATGCAGCCATGATTAACAATCTAGACAATTCCTTACATCTTGTCAAGCTCTA